TACTGCCTCTTAGCATCATTTTCGATAGTACTGGTGACAAGTGATAAGTTTAGCGCGATTTTGAAAAATGTTGCCAACGCTGAAATGACGCGTTGATGCATGTCGCCAAACTGTTGCTTGTTGCCAAACCTGCTGGTTGGCAAACCAGGTTTTCGCAGGTGCTGAAATCCCATTTCTGGTTACCATGATTAACTTTGCGGATTTTGCCTCCAATGACGTCACCTTTGGGTTACCGCAACTTTTGTTTACCCATTTATGTGATTGATTCTTGAGTTATTTTACATATATATTCGTTTATTTGCCAATCGCCAAAAATGAGAGGGGCCCCCGATTGTAAACTATTACAGATTTCAATTTCATTTACTCAAAAATAATTTGGTTTCTTAAGAGGAAAACCATAAATTTAGAAATTATATAATGCTGTACTATTGCCAAATATATTATTTTTGGAACATAACGCCCGGTAAATAAATCGTCCCTTTTTGCGCAACTTAAATTTAATTTAGGTACTTCTCTGTTTCCATGAGTCATAAAATAAACGCCAAGCTATTTTTGACACCAGTGATTATTTTTTTCTGGGGTAAAAGGCACTGCTGGTAATATGGTCAATAGATACCTAATGTATTATTACCAAAACATTATAAACAATTTCAGGTCAAGTAACGGCATTTAGGGTACCGGTGCTTTTTACCATAAAATCTATTTTAACAATAAAATTTTACAGAACAAATAATATAATCTGCCATAATTTTAACTGTAATATTTGCAGCAAAATTATTAAATCACTGCAATTAAATGAATATCAATGTAAAATCCACGGTGTGAAATTTTAGGGTAAGATGGATTTTATGGATGATGTACTGATGCCAGTACTTTTTACTGTAATTTGATTCGGAATTTTTTACAATGTTCCCTATACAAATATTGTGATAACTGATCTTTACAATACCTTGAATTATTTAGGCAATATCACTTGTATTGTGAAGAAATTTTTAATGAATAACTATCTTTTGTATTCATTTGTAAGATTCATATTTTTTAAATTGGAAGCATGAATCACAGTTTACTTAAAATTAGAGAAACTTATCATTCTAGATGGCCGGTAATAAATTTGAAAAATTATTAATCCTTTTATTATTTAGCATCAAAATTTCTTTTAAAAAATGAATGAATTAAAATCTTCAAACTGAAAATGATATTTTTGTATCAGAGAAACGAAGCAAAGGGAGTGAAAAATTATAATACTTTATTTATTTGTCTCTTCCTCGACACTTGGTACTAAACCTTAAAAAAAGCTTGCCAGTTTCCTCTTAATATTAGGTAATCATTTTTTTTAGACGTGGACTTTCAAAAATAACGTGAACGCTCATGTGACATTTTCGGTACTTTTTCGTTATCTAGCTAACGGAGAAAGTTTAGCGAAAATTGGCAAGTTCATCTTCAGTGCTCTAGCAATACGTCATCAATGTGCCAGTTATGCATCAACAAGTTATTTATTCGACAAAATTGTGAAATTTTTATAAGTTTTTATAAACAGTTAGCTTATTTTTTTATAAGATTAAAGATACACTTTCGAGTAGCGAACAGGATAATTAACTAAGTTTCGAAGAGAATTTAATTGTTTCTAATTCTTTAAAATGTTGGCGGGCATTCTTATGAGTAAGAAGTTTTGTTAAGCAGCGAGATAATGGGTAAGTACCTAAATAAAACCGAACCGAAAATTACCTAAGTCAACGCCATTGAATTAGATTCATCAGCAACTATCACCAATTTTTCGCCGAACCGAAAAAGTCAACAAAACCAAAAAGTACCTAATTCAACGCCATTTGGATTCATCAGCAATTGTCACCAATTTTTCTTTATATTTACCCTTTTCGGGGTTCAAATGTGTAAAAAAATGATGTCTTTTCCTAATCAAACTAAACAGTTTTAAAAATTCAGAATACTTTCTTGGGTCTTGGATTACCAAGTCTTTGGAAGCAATTTTTACTAAAAGTTAACCCTAATATCATGGATCATGCATAATCTATGCATATGGTATCTATATAATTTTATCATTTTATTATTTTAATAATCTCCGTTAGTTAAATAACTAAAAATGTTGGTAATAAAGAATATTCCTTTTTTTAATATTAAGTACTTTAAGTGGATGACGAAAAACATGAGAAAAAAACTGAAAACATTTACCCGAAAATCTGAAACAAAATGGCTGATTAAAAATATATGAGTTATGATTTACATTTAATACTAAAATTCCGTTACGTTGCACTTACATTACTGACAAGCTATTGGCAACACTCCGCCGAGGTATTATAAATATTAATTTTTTCGACAAGAGTGTATCTTGATTTCTTTTTTTCCTTTCTAAAGCATTATTTTTAAAAACGGTAATATTTAGTTTCCAAGTTTAGTAACCAAACTATTATTTTATTAAAATATCACTGGTATTGTAGTAACATATAACTTACCGTTAGGCAATACCGTTATTGAATAGACGACAGCACGATAGTATACTTCTGTATTAAAAAAGATGGAACTTCATAAAAAAAATTAATCCTGCATGTTTTCAAAATTTTACTACCTAAACAACATTTTTATGTATTGTTTCTTTATAAAGCAACCTCTTAAGCAATTAACTTATAAACAAAACATATTTTAAACATACATTAATAAAAGAATAATAAATTCAAATAGGCAGATTGTTTGGATTCACAATTGTTTCTCGTCAAAACTGCTTCTTTGGATAAATTCCAATTAATCGTTATTTATAGAGTAACTTTTCCTTTTATACTTTTTCAGGTACTAGCATTGAAGATCTGCATGCTAAGTGCATCAAGTCCACTGAATATGATTCTTTTCAAAATTCAATTGCAAAAAATTTCTTTTCAAAATTCATTGTAATTTTTAAACTTTCTTACTGTTTAAACAATGTTTTAGAATAAACTCTCTAAAAGAATTGGTATGATGTTTTTTTTTTTGCACTTCTTATTCTCACAACTATCATAGCATTCTTAATAATCATATCAAAATACTTTAATTTCGCTATTTTTTTTCTAGTTGAAATGTTTATATTTGCTCAATTTGCCAAATTATGTCTATTTGCACAATGTAGAAATGAAATAAATATTAGAAATGGTAAATAATATTTTTGCAACAGCTAAAAAGGAAAAAAAAGTGGTGTGAAAATAAAATATATTTAGAATTTTGTTCAATTCTCGTTAGTATTCACTGAAGCTATAACAATGAGATACCACAATAAAAATATTAAAATAAATAACTTTTAAAAACCTGTATGACTTATAATTTTATTTATAAATTTTCGCTAATTTCTAAAATTTTCACAACATTCGTGTATTTAAATAGGCAATATAAACACAATTTTTCAAAATTATATTCGTAATATTAAAAATCATAATGTTTGTGCACCCTGTACCATAAAATGTTTCGAAGAAGTTTTAATAAGTAGTTTTTACGAGTGTTTATCCATACTGTAGTACTTGTACTTTATATTATGTGCATTACATTATATAATTTTGTATCACTATAATTATGAACATAACTTGATTACTGTTAATGACTTGAGTTTCATGTTCTGAAAGCTATAAATGTTAGAGTTGTTATTCAAACCCAGCTGTATAATAATTTTATTAAATTTAATCGAAACATAGCTAATATAGCTGACAAATATTCGAAGTGAGAGTCAATCAAACTCACATATAAATGTAACAACAAGCACTTGTCTTATTTTAAAAATATTTTGTAGCATTCAGAAGTAAATAGTTTCAAAGCACTAATCATAAATTATAATTTTACTTTAGGAAGAATGCTTTCTGCGGCATTTATTCATTCCGACTGCATGTAAAAACTCCAAACTATTAACCTTAGTCATGCTTAATTGTTAAAATAAGTACTACTGGCATTGTTTTAATATAAACCTAATATACAGATAGAGATAACTACTATGGATACTGTAATAGGTTTTTAATGACACTTTTTCCTGCAATGCAATATTGCAATTTATGACAGTAATTAACACTCAAAAGTTTTTTTAAGGACAGACCTGGGCTAGAAAAATAGAAGCAACATCTTTTTATATTTGTGTTGTATGGAGATCAAATGTTTAAATATATTTATTAAAAACGATATACAAGTTTATTATAAATATATTTTCATTGATGAAATATAAATGTAAAGACACCGATTGATTTGATGGATAACTGTTTCTCAGTTTCTCACCAAAATTGGTGTATTAGGTGAATTCTTAAGAAATTTAATTTCTATTTTCATATTATTCTAGGTTCAAAAAGTAAACACGTAAGCCAAGTATACTCATTTTCTCTTACCTAAAATTCCTTATAAATAAGATCCGTAAAGCTATAAAAATTAACTTCTTGTCTTAAAATTTAGTAGTATATTAAAATATAGCTAGAAGCTAGATTGCGCCCATAAAATAACCACTTTCGTGGAAAATAATTTATGTCTGATCTAGGTTCATGTACCTTTGAAAATTCATAATGTCACTAAATTCCTTTTTGATATTTTAATTTGTATTTTATTTATAGTTTGCTACTTATTAAAAATTTAGTAGCTACATCAAATAATTTTTGCGAATGGCTTAATTAGTGGGATTTTTCGAAATTTCTCTATCCAGTTGATTTTGTTTACCATACTTTTTAATGCTTTATAGATAAAACAGACGAATAGTTCTATGCACATTCATTTTCAGCATTTAAAATGTGCCTTGCTTATATTCGCTTGCTTATAATCATTAAAATAAAAAATTAAAAGTTGTTCATTGCACGCGGCTCGCGTGTTCATTACGCTGTTACNAAAACAGACGAATAGTTCTATGCACATTCATTTTCAGCATTTAAAATGTGCCTTGCTTATATTCGCTTGCTTATAATCATTAAAATAAAAAATAAATAAAAAATTAAAATGTACGCGGTAAATGTACGTAATGCACGCGGCTCGCGTGTTCATTACGCTGTTACGTTTGTCATAAAAAAAATCTCGAGCTATGAAATAAGTTTTAGAATACCATTTGCTTGATAATTTTGAGGCTGTACAGTGCAACTAAAAATTTTCAGTGCATTCAATTTATAATAAGGTATTTAAATTCTTCATACTTCTAACTTCAATTGATCAAGAGCAGAAATGGACAAGAAAGACGAAAAAAAACCCGGAGAACCTGGTAAACCAGGTGAGCATGGTAAGCCCGGCGAAAAAAAGCCCGATGATAAAACGAAATCACCAGAAAAGAAATAAACGAAAAGAATAAATGAAAAAGAAAAAGAAATAAAGTGAGTACTCTTATCAGATTTTAAAGATTGATAAAACTGTAAGCATACACGTATTTTTCTTATATATCATTTGTAATTTCTTATTTTTCTTATATATCATTCAAAACTATGCATTCTTCACTCTTAATTAACAAAAACGACACATTTAAGACAATACTGGAATTTCATTAATTTGTATTTCACTAGCTGATTTATCCAGACCTGAATTAAGCAGCAAGAGTTTTTTTTTCAATTCCTTTTAATATACATTTTATAATTCTTTCTGTTAATATACATACTATTAATATACTATTTCTTTTAATATACATTTTATAATGAAATTTTAATAATTTAATTTTTCGCTATTTCGATTTTGCTAAGTGAACAGGCCCTATTTTAAAAACCATGAAAACTTTAATCGTTCATTATGTCAAAAAGCAGTGATGGTCAAAAAATGTATTATCCATTAGTAAAATTTGGTTTAACTCTAGTATACAGGTGCATTTGGCGACATTGGCGATGTTTGGGAGGGCAATAAAGTTTCAAATATGTAGTTTTATATTTGGCGAGAATTAGTATGTTATTGCTTTTTATGGCATTTTTATGTATTTGCTATTTTCAATAAGCGATTTTTGCTAATTCCAATTTTTGTCGATAATCGTAAAAACGTCTTTTAGGCGTTGGCAACAGTTTGAAGACTGTTGACCGAAAATGTCGAATGTGTCATTTTGTCACGATTCTACCTAAAAATATTTATGTAAAAATGTTAATTTATGTGATAAAGTTTCAGTTAATATGTTTAAGTTTAATACATATTTAAATTTAAACATTTTGCCACTTCATTTTTTTTTTAAAAAAAAAGCTATAAATCTAATTACATTTAAGAAATTTTTTTTTCATTTATAAGAAAAATAGTACTATAACCATTGTAACATTTTTTTTCTTTCGGTGAGAATATTCATAAATGTAATCGAACGAGAATTTTTACATTATATTTGCTATCACAATACTTCCTTTTCATAAACAGATTTGAAAGTACTTTTCTATTTCAGCTATTTTATTCATTTGTTATATCTTTTTATTTTTGAGGAAATAAACCATCATCTAAAAAATAGAAAATAAATAAACACTACAGCTTAGCATTGGCGACTTTATCCCCTGCGTCGGCGAAACGGAAAATACCGATTCTATTTATGTAAAAAAGCAGCATTTGTATGTTTTTGTTTATTCTTGTTTTCGTGAAAGATATCAGTGTATATCAATGTCCCATAAAGAAAACTGGGTTCATTTTTTTAATAAAAAATCCTTTATAAAACATTTTTTTTAAAAATCCTAAAATAAAAAATTATATAAAGCTGCACTGTTTGTATAAAGCCGTATTTTTGGTTGCATAGCTGGATAAATAATTTGTTTATTTTCACATAATTTATTTATCTGTTTCAGTGGACCATAAAAAATCTCTGAACCATTATCCACGCCCGTTAATAACTGGCGATAATTTTCGTTCAGTTTTTCTGAAAATCCCGATTCCGGTAATCATAGCATTCTTTGATGGCTTTGTTTTCAATAACGCCAAATTAGGGTTATCGAAACTTTCGCTTGTTATTTGTTTTTGATTTGTTTTTGGTCAACAAGTTTCATCGACAGCAGAATGGTAGCAGCAATCACCAATATGTCAATTATTTCACAAAATTGCGTAATTAATATTAGCGGTTTCAGTTAAACCTACTACCCTATTACCAACACTAATGGTACTAATCTTCAGAACCTATATTGATGACTAGTGGTAACTAAATATTCACAAATTAAACTTATATATATATATATATATAAATTTAACCATTATANTAAATTTATATATATATATACATATAAATTTAACCATTATATATATATATATATATAGTCCGAATATACGGTATTTAAATTTAAACCATTCATTTAGTAATTTTTCCATTTATATTGTAACGATTTACAGGAAATTCTGGTTTTCTCGATTAAACTTCTTATTATCATACAATTAATAAAAAAATACAAAACTGAAGTTAAGCCGAAATAAATAGTTTTTAGCCGTGTTCTAAGATATAATAATAAAAATACATCATTTTTCAAACTTTAACACACAATATAAACTCATATTTTATTATTAACTTCACGTAAATCATTGCTAAAACGTTTTGGTAAAGATTACCGAGCTTTTTGGTGTTCTCATAAAGCGAGAAATCAGCTAAATGTTACCATATTCTAGTAGTTTTGAACTTAATTTTTCCTCAGGGCATTTCCAGAGACCGTAAAAGAGCCTCCAAATTATTGCCCCCAATGATTTTTAAGCAATTATATAATAGATGTAGGTACCACTGTTATTGTATTTGAAGGTGATAGGTATTATAATAGGTATCTAGTAAACAATACCGTTATTGCATACACCACACTCTTTAATTATAAGATTTAAATGGCGGAATTTGGTGAAAAATTGAATCGACACGTTTGCAAATTTTCTGTCTAAGTAATATTTATGCGTGCTGTTACTTTATTTAAAACATTTTTGTAAAAAACGTGCTTAACATAAATATAAACATTAACTGAAGAGTATAAAAATGCAGATTATTTACATTTACAAGACATTTATTTCGCGCCAAGATTGCTGTCTTGGCTATGTTCCAATTAATCTAACTTTTCCTTTTATATTTTTTCAGGTACTAACACTGAAGATCTTCATAATAAATGCATTCATATTCCAGTAAAGCCACCTATAATTCCTTTCGAAATTCAATTCCTTAAAACTTTATTTTCTAAATTCATTATATTTTCAAATTTTCCGAATGTAAAAGCCACGTTAGAATAAACTGTCTAAAATAATCGCAATGTTTACTTTGCATCTTTTTCTTACCATATATTTAATTCTAGCATTTGTAATAATTACACCAAAAACCAAAAAACTAGTACTTATGATTAGGAGTTTACTAGTACTAGTAAAACAAGTACTTATGATTTTTCAGATCGCGTTATCAAACCTATCAGTGCGAAAAAGGCATGATTGGCTAAAGCTCTAAAACCAATTTCAGTTAGTAGATTGGTGATAGCAAGAATATTATGATAATCAAATAACACCGTTCAATTACATGGTAGCCGTAAAATAAAACGTCAATTCTTTTTTTTTAATGTTCAATGTAGTGTTAACATTTTTTGTTCAGCTAATGGTGTTAAATTTGTACTTTTCGGTTACTTGGGAGCAAATAAATTCACCTATTTTTTAAATGCTTGTTACTTTAATATTTTATTTTATTTAATTTTATGCGTTTAAAAAATAAATTAAAAAAAATTTAAAAAAAGTTGGTAGAGATCTACATTGTTTGGCGACTTTTTTCTCTTGCTTGTCTAACGGAAAGTACTGTTAAGTTATATAGAAATAACTGTACATGCTGGCTTACCTCTTTTTTCTTCTGCTTTTTTATGTTCAACGTTTGTGTGTTCTCGTTACATCACATTATTTTTTGCTTAATTTTCTATTTCTTTACTTATTATAACGTTTATAACGTTACGTATCAGCTAACGGCGTTTAAATATAAATAATAATTGTGTAATTTTTTAAAAAGCAAGCAATATAAATATCTTATATAAGATTAAAAAAATTTCTCCCGTATAAAACTAAAATTCATTAATTAAATTTAATTAATAAATTGTTATTTAAAAAAAACTGTTGTTGTTGTTGTTGCTAATTCCCATCTGGTCTGACGGGGTCAGACATGGGAAACAGTTCAAGATGTGCTCAGGTGATGCCTAGTTTTGTTGGCATTTAGGGCAAAGATGAAAGATCTTTTGATTAGCAGANAAAGATCTTTTGATTTGCAGAAAATGTGAGACTTTTCAGGTGTCCACTGGCCAGTCGGGATAGGCAGGTGTTGGTTTGCCTGTCACCAGGGAGAGATAGAGAGAGTCCTGGTCTTTTTGCTTTATACCAGTAGTGAATAGGTGGAAGCAGCCACTTTTGTTTGTTCTGGGCCTTTTGCCTTGCAAAAAGTTCAAGGTATGTAAGCTCTAAAAAAAAACTGTATTAACATCAAGTGTCATTCACTGCAAGTTTAATTAATAAGTATCATAATTTTCTTAATCGAATGATGCATTTAGTTCGATTTATCTAAAATATATATAATAAAATTAGTTTAAATCCAACTCAGACAGACTCTATACAAAAGCAATTATATCATTCAAGGTCAGACTGATGTCGTTATTTTGGAACAAATATTTTAAATTTAGCCTGGAAACTTAACTTTATTGTAGGAAATCGTTCAACAATAGAAAGCTTTTGCGTTACGTTACGGTTTCCCGTTAACGCTAACGCAAACAATATTAAGCTTTACAGCACATGCATGAAAATTAAAGTAAAAAATAACACATGCCTACAGTTTTTACATTAAATTTGGCAAAAACTTAACCTTATGCTATTTTTCAAAAGCCGCGTATTTTATTGTGACTGTAGATTTAATTGCGCTTCCGAAAACTTTTTTTCCCTTATTTTTTTCATTTTTTCTTTATTTTCATTCTTTACCGTTATTTTCTTTTTAATTTTCATTATATTTTTAAAAATATGAATAACATGAATATGAATCTATATTATACATGAATATGAATATATAATATGAATATGAATATAATTTGCTGGAATTGGCGATATACGATAAAACACTTTTACTGGAATTGTCGCACTTTTCAACAATATTCATACTTCAGATAGGTGAAATAGGTCAGAATGGTTTTTCTTCGACATGGAAGAATACATTTTGAAATTATTAAATTTTACTTTCTGTTAATTTTTTTCTTATTTTAATATTTCATTAATTACTACTTGATTTGTGAATTATATTGGAATGATAAGTAAGAAATATACGTGCTAATTAACATGTAGTGTGTTATGTGCTATACTCTGTTACTAGTTAAAAAAGAAAAGCAAAACATCTCTATGGAGAGAGTCTGTTAGCATCGAAGTTCACGCCAAATGGATGCCAAGCTCCTAACTTGAACGTATATCAATATCGCTAACTCCTGAAATGACGTTGCATAGCCTCCTTTGTGTGTGTGTTTATTTTCTTATTAATAATAATAACTGTTATTAACAACAATAATCAATTGGCAAGTAATAAGAAGTAATAAAAATGATATCTGAACATCGTAACAAATATATGACTTTCTGTTAGCATTTAAAGAAACTGATGAAAGAATATTAAATATTTTTTCTTGCAGACGATTTTCTTCTGCAGCGAAGCAAAAGTAAAAAAATTTTAACTCGCATTTGATTTGTCAAGGGCATGTCAGCAAAACACGTGCCATTTTTATTGGTCCAAGCGAATCCAATATTCTTACCACATCATATAGTTTTCTTTTTCAAGAACGAATGTTCTTATTCATCGAAATATATCACCAAGTCTGGAATTCCAGTAAGGCTACGAAACTATAACCTTTTTATAATAATTATTTGATATATATCTTAAAGGATTTCACGAATTAAATTTCTGCTACGTGTACGTGTTTTCGAAAGCTTTTATATTGTTTTGAAAGCATGTCTGTACAATTTGTTCACGAAATAAACCGGAACGATTTGCAGTCTCGGATGATTACTTGAATCCAATACCGCAATGGTCTCTTCTAAACCTGCAACGGATTATATTCTTTACCGCTTTTTGAAAGTTAAGATGTTCAGTAAAAAAATAAATAAGCTGTGATAAGTTTAAAAATATAAAATGAATTTATTTTATTTTTTACTTTTAACGTTTATAAAAAATTCTTTTATTTAGACTGATTTAACAGAAACACTTACAATTAAACACTTTATATTAGACATTAATATTACTTGTTAAGATATCCTTTTATTCACTTACTCATACCGTAACTTTTTAAGTTAAAGCAAATAGTTGCTAAAATTAATTAGTTTGGAATAAAACTACGTAATAGGTACTAATTGAAATCGAAGAAATAGTTAGAGCTATGTATCAAAAAGAAAACAAAGTGAGAAATGATACTTGTTTGATTAAGAGAAATGTAAGAAATCGCCATACTGTTATTGTCGCCAGACCTAATTAATTTTAGTAATGGGTTCTAATTAAAACAAAAAATGAGCCATTTACTACAATGAAAATTTAATGGATAAATAATTCTACTACTAATTCATTATGGAAAAACGTAAAAAATCGCCTAGTTATTATTAAACTACATCTAAAGCATTTTAGAAGAGAAGAGAGGAATCTGAAAAAGTAAGGTCTTAACTTCTTATATTTTAATTTTATTGACAATGTGAATATAAATCTTAAATAAAGTTATGAAAATTTCGATATATAATTTACTCCTNTGGCGTCAGCTCTACGTCAACTTTCCGCTGACGCCCAGATAAGGCGCTAGTTCTAAGAAACCAGGCCTTGAGCTAACAAACCAGTATTTTGTTGGCGTCAACGAGACGTTGACGTCCCGCTGACGCCCAGATAAGGCGCTTGTCCTAAGAAACCAGACCTTTAAGCATTTTAGAAGAGAAGAGAGGAATCTGAAAAAGTAAGGTCTTGACTTCTTATATTTTAATTTTATTGACAATGTGAATATAAATCTTAAATAAAGTTATGAAAATTTGAATATATAATTTACTCCTAGATTTATTTTTATCAATTACATAGTGCAATACTTTAAAAAGACTAGTGCACAAGCGTGAAAATATTAATTTCATTATAAAAATACTTACTATTTCTATACTGTGCGAGAACTAATAGCGAAAGTAAATCATGCTCCCGAACACTTAACATTATTCTAAACTAATTGACACCGAGGTTATAATAAACAGCGCTAAACTGACTAATAGTTAGTTAAGAAAGGATTTTGGATTCAGGAAGGAATCAGTAGAAGTATTGTTGGCGATAAACAGCAATCTTTTATGTTTACTTCCACGATCAGTACTCGCTAAACTAAAGTTTAGAAGTAGTACTTTTATAATAAAATTAAAATTTACACGATCTCATGCTCTTCTTTTAAAATTATTGCGCTTTGCAATTGATCACAATAAACTAAAGAGTGCATATGTTGCAACTGGCGATAGTAAGCAAAGTAAATATTGGTGTACATAGACGATTATTGCAATTTGAATAAACTTCATTTAAGATTTTTACTTACATTTTCAATAAAATTAATCAAAATATGAGGAGTTAATCACTTACTTTCTCAAATCCTACTTCTCTTTTCATTTCAAATACTTCAGATGTAGTTCTATGTGTACCCGTACATAACGTAATGAAAATTTGTTTTTAGTAGCATTGACTTTACTTTTATGTAATTCTTTCTAACGGTCAGAATCTTCATAAGAATCCGAAGCTAAATCATCTCCGAGGAGAAAGCTGGTTATTCACTGTCGGTTATACACCATTTCAGGCCTTTTTTGCTCTCCATTTTTAAAATAAACATTCTTACGCTATTTGAGAGATACAATACGCTATTTGAGAGATACAATACGCTATTTCTGATCATGCACAGTATCTCTAAAGCATGGGAAATAAGGTTTCCGTTAACGCAACGCAAAAGCTCTCAAATGTTAAAGTACCAAAACCTTTTACTAGAATAGCTGATAAAAATAGTAAATGGTCTAAGAAAGCATTTTTATGTTTCATTTAAAGTTTGGAAACAAAAGTTTGAATTTCAATCTCATAACGTTAACCTATTGATGCAATAATAAAACATCCGTTAGTCAACATGTTATAAAAAAGAGTAGCCATTACCCTAGACTATTAGAATACGAAACTATCATTCCCGTATAAGTGGCCCACCACACATAGAGCTCAAATGTCCGTTGAAGTTTCATTTTTATAATTTAAAAACTGTACTAA